GGAACAGCTACTCCCCTGGTCTCCCTGCCTCCTCTGGTTTCCTGGTCTCGCTGGTGGGAGGGAAGATCTGGAGTCTGGGGTGCTTGGCTCCCGCCGGGATTGGGAGCTCTGTGCAGTTTCCAGGCGATCTGCAGGCACTGGAACACAGGCCGGGAAGCTGGCCTGTTTACCTGATGCTGCCAGAGGAACATCTGCTTCTCTCCTAGTAGTTTTTAAAGATCATTAAGAGTCTGGTAACGATCTCTCTTGATCTATGCTTTCTGTGGTCTAATTTTTGGTAGATCTATTTTATAATCTAAATAATTAATAGAATCTCCTCTTTGTATTTTTTCAGGGGCAATCTGTAATCTCCAGTGAGATAAAATTTCCTTTACTGCCTCAAACATCTTTTCCAGTGTACCTTCCTTTGAATCAGCCAACAATATATCATCCATATAATGGTATTTTATGGATTGAGGAAACTGTTTGTGAATTATTTCCAAAGGTTTTTGTACAAAATACTGGCACAAAGTAGTACTATTTAACATTCCCTGTGACAAAACCTTCCATTGAAATCTTCTAACTGGTTGGGAATTGTTATAGGTAGGTACTGTAAAGGCAAATTTTCCCCTTTTTCTTGTAAAGGTATAGTGAAGAAGCAATCTTTTAGATCAATGACTATAATTGGTCATCCTTTAGGTATCAGAGAAGGCAATGGCATCCCAAGCTATAAAGAGCCCACAGGCTGAATTACTTTATTGGTGCTCTCAGATCAGTAAGCATCCTCCAATTACTAGATTTCTTTTTGATAACAAACACAGGGGAATTCCTCGGACTGGTAGATTCTTCATTATGTCCAGCATTTAGCTGTTCCTGAACCAGCTTTTCTAAAACCTCTCGCTTCTCAGAGGCCATAGGCCATTGCCCTACCCAGAGAGGTTCATCTGGTAGCCATTTTAAGGGTAGGGCTTTTGGTTCCTCTGTAGGTTTGACACTCTTATCCTGTTTCTATACAGCCTGTATGGTTGGCATCTGTTTTCTGTAGTGCCTTACAATCTTTTTTCTACCACCAAGAACTTGTTCATGATTCATACCCAGTTCCAGAAGCCAACACCTTGGTGCCGCCCAGAAGTGGCTGCTCCTCCTTGGCCCTAACACCACTGGATCTGTATCCCACTTCTGACACCAGATCTAAAGAAGTATAAGTCACACACTGATTGAGGATAAAGGTGATTATTTATTGTGGGAAGGCACTTACAAGAGAAACCGGCAACCCAGGTTGGTTTTAGTGGCTTCTGAGACCTGACCAGAACCCAGAAAAGAGAGAGTATCTCCTCTGCACAGCCCTTTATTTCCCATGTCTGTATGTAGCTGTATCTATGTCCAAAGTGGGCATGGTCAGCTGCACAGGTATCTAAGATCTCTCCCTACACACTGGACCTAGTTCCTGGAGTCTAGCTGAGGAGAAGGAGGAGCAATAATATGAGCAAATGGATCAAGACCATGATGAGGAAACTGGCAGAAACAGCTGACCCGAGCTAGTGGTAGCTCACTGACTCTAGATTGATAGCTGGGGATCCTGCATAGGACCGAACTAGGCTCCCTGAATTCAGGTGACATTGGGAGGCTTGGGAAGTTTGTGGGGCTACTGGCTGTGGGACCAGGAGCTTTCCCTAATGAATGAACTGGCTTTTTGGAACACACTTCCTTTAGAGAGATACCTTGCTCAGCCTAGACACAGAGGTTGGGTAGGGTGGGGGACTGGTTCTATCTCAACTTGGTGATGGAACAGAATTTGTTGTCTCCCCATGGGAGGCCTTACCCTCTCTGAGGACATAGGGAATGAGATGAGGGGAAGGTGGGGGAGTGGAAGAGAGGAAGGAGGGAGAACTGGGATTAGTATGTAAAAAATAAAGTAAAATAAAAATTTGAATAATGACTCTCTGGGTCAAAAGTCCAATACACTTCAAATTGTGACTATTTAAATTGGAGGGTGCTTGTCGTATTTGTTGGTTATTCAGCTGCCTCATGATGAAATCCAGAAGACATTATGACAGGTTGATCTGTGAAACTCAAAAGCTGTCTGAGCCCTGAGCCAGGGAAATCTTTTCATACCATGATCTCATCTTTTTTCACACACTATCCAAAATTCCTCCCCAATCTTTTACAAGGAACAGTTGTCAGACCACAAGTCACTCTGTCCCTAATTACTATTTATTACTTTTGCATTTTCCCTTTCTTCTAGTGAAGCATCCAGCATATACAGGATACTCAGAGGATTATGAGTGGGGACCAGCGTGCCAGCTTCTGATAAATTCAGACTCTCAGCAGTGTTCCTGGTGTGCTTGCTCTTGTGTTCCTAAGAACCCAGGCTGATCTCTGCCTTATTATAGTTATAGGAAGCTGCCATCAGCCTCCATTCTCTTTTTCATAAAAATATTAACTCACTTTTACTTTGATAAATCTTGCTGCTTTTCCCTCTTTCAGTACACACAGTCGTGTTTGAACAATGCTCAACACTAGTACCATTTGTTCAAGGTCATGCGTGTCTGTGTTAAGCATTACATTTAGTTGGGTGCCATAATTGAACACAGATATTGGAAATTTCTGAGCAGTCAAATACTTCTGGATTGATTTCTTAAAAATACAAGCAGGGATTCATATTTGAGTGCCCTAGGCGTAGGAGTGAACTGGAGCTATGTTACAAGAATATGAAATCATGCTTAATATGAACCCTTCTCTTTCTTGGGAGTTACAGGAGAGATCTTCGTTTGGATATGCAAATGAGAACATTTTATGAGGCTCTGCCCCTATAATAATTTTCAGAAAAGGCAGAATTTGAGCTTCTAACCTGTGCTTTAAATTCTGCTTTCCTGGAAAATATTATACTTTTCTCCACCAAGTCTAATAAATATTTTATATTGCATTTTGTTCTTTGTCTCCTAGGTAAGCCGGTAGCAGAAAGTATAAATCGGGTGTTTTAGGAAGAGGTTTATATGTCTCAAAGCTACACACACATATGTGTGTGTGTGTGTGTGTGTGTGCGCGCGCGTGTATGTGTACGTATGTGTCTTGGTGAATCTGGGTTTGTCTTTCTGTGTCTATACATACATATATGTACACATGTCATACAACTTCCTTAACGGAATATATTTTCTTCACTTTAACTCTCAATTTCATGTTTAAGTGATTATCTTTCTCACCTCAAAAGTCTTATCAGTGGGTTAAAGTCAATTCCTGAATATTAACTTTGATTTTGTCTTTCAACGCTCTCCCTAGAAATTCTTCCTGCTTGTGTGAAATAAAGAAGTCCTGAGGACGGGCCCTCTAGGTTGAAGAGAGGAAGTGAGTTGGAGTGGGGCTTTGGGGTAAGGATGGAGCTGATGGAATGGGGGTCCCCTGAAAAATGCTCTTCTATTATCACCAAGTCTGCCATCACAGGGAATAAGCCACAAAGGACCTTTCAAGTGCTGGAGGATTCCCTAGGTTTCTTTCATCCTTTGAGACCTCCTTTTTGGCAGAAGAATGCTCAAAGCTAAGTAAACAAAACACAGACTGCTCATGGATGGTAAACTAGAAAGGGAAGGGAGACATGAGAGCTTTTGCATCAACAGATTAAACTGAGATGTAATCTGTTTCCTATTAAAGTATGTCTTGGAAATAAGAGCATGTTTGGGGGAAAACAGCTCTAGACAAAATGCTATTGAATTTGGTTCTACTTGAATTGCAATATCTACCTTACCTTGTCTTGGCCAGTCAGTCGTTGCAAAGTCTTGAAAACAAAATTGAAAGTTGTATGTTTTGTCATTTCTATTTCCGTTTCTGACATCATCTTGCCCACTGAAATTAAAACCGTAAGAGTTTGAACATAGAAAATTGCTTCCCTTTGATTTCTGAACGTTCACATTCCCCTTAGAAACAAGCTAATGTCCTGCTAGAAGATGTGACCACCACCCTCATTCCGTATCTTCATTGACAAGAATATTTTAACATTGTAAGCATGTATGGATTTTATGCCTCCCTTGCAGTTTTCATATGGTCTATAGCACGAATGGAAATTTCCATAGGGGAGGCTAACTCTGCCTATCATTTTGATGTACTAGATACACAAAATTTGTGAAAACTACTTTGTTGCAGATTCTATACAAGATCTACTCCCACTACCTTGTGGGATTTGCTTACATAGAAGGAAGCCAGAACAAGTCTTCTGTTGCCATATCTTGACATTGGGGGCCATATTAATCACATTACACCTCACTATAATATCTTACTCTCTACTCTGTGAGTCAAAGAGGTGTCCCAACAATTCTAACTGTAGCCACCCCAAGACTTTCTTTGCAGTTCTTGCTCCATACTTACAGATAAATTCACCCTTGGTGACTTGTTCTGGAAAATATTATTAAATGGGAAAGAGGCTTGTCTGGGAATTCTTTTATGCCACAGAACATATTCAAATAACTGTGAATTCTGAATTAGTGTTTTTCAGACTAAGATCTATGTAAACAACACTGCAAAGATTTCCTAGTTGACATAAGGAGATGTTAGAGAATTATTGGCTTGACCCTTACATTTGGGAAAAGGGAATGGGGGATTTGAAACACACATGGAACTGGTTATTATTTGATTTTGAGATTGTGTCTATGATACAATGACACTGACTTCCCAGCCTACCTGTGGTAATCATCTAGAGCTTTCTGAAGCACTTCACTGAATGCAGCACCATCCCAAATTTAAGACTGACATTTTACTTCTCTCAGGCTTCCTTTCCTTAACTGTTGTCTGGCAATCTTTGGAGAGTAGCTGGATCTCCTGGGATCATATGCAAGGACTCACTTAACTCTAAGTATTGATCTACATGGAACCCTACACATATAGAATCTTGTCTTGGACCAGCACCCAGATATTAATTCAAACCTGTGTCTAGGCTGATTTTTCCACATTCACTTGAGCCCAAAATAATTGACCTTCTGGTCTTGAAATCCAGGTCTAGAGTTGGCTAATTATCCTAGACTTGCCTCATGTATCTCATGTCCTTTCTGCATTTGTATTGGTGGAATAGTGATGAGCACAGCTGTCTTCCATTTCCCCTCTGTGATCACCAGCTCATGCCTTCAGCAGATATCACCAGAATGAGGGCAGGTTTTCCTTTTAAAAGAGAAAAAATGGACAGATGAACATGAATATGAGGTCTCCAAATACTAGGTAACAATACTTCAATAGTTTCCCAAAGTAAATCTAATGATTTTATGTTTAGGGTTCCATATACTATGTTCCTCTCTATGTTGACAGTTGAGAAGTGATTGTACTTCCAGATGTATTACAGATGTTATTAAGTTATAAGTTACGCTGTTGAGGTTATGGTCAGAGTCAGGTGTTTCAAAGTTTGTGAGTTCTTAATTAAGGAATAAAAACAAAAATCCTACACACATTGCAAACATATCTAGAAAAATGTTATTCAAAGACATGCTATAAAATAGGAGCAATTGCCATGACAGCGAAGATGCTCAGGTACCCCAGTTATTTGAAACTTCATTTTATGGGCTTCAAGAATAGAAGGAGCTTGGATACTAAGAGACATAGAGACAGCGGTTCTCTGCTTTTGTTTATTGACAGGTTAGGCCATAAAATACTTTTCTGCCATATACACCCATACCCATATTGTATCTGATTTTAATCATATGCATTCCCAATGCTTCAGATGAATATGATGGGAACTAGGAGATTCTCCTTTAAAAAATCACTTGAGGACAGTTTTGCCTTGTTGTGCATACACCCCAAACCAGTTCAAACTGGATCTCACCCCACATCCTTGTACCTGGACTTGACTGAGGATATGTTTAAATAGGAACTATCCAAGTTTAGTGATAATTAGGATAGGGAAAACATTTCCAATTTTTGGAGCAGAATGTGTTCGTAGGGGCCAAAACGTGCTAGGTGCAGTGATTAAGGAGTGTTTGGGGAATGTAGATCATGAAGGTAAAGAAGGTAGTTTGTCAAGTGCATCCTTTGAACAAAACTTTGGGTGTTTACCAGTGTGTCAATAACCCAAACTAAGTATTGTTTTATTAAAATGTTCTCCATTCTTGCCTGCCTGAACAAACCACTGGATGTCACTCTTAAGCTGTGCAAGCATGTCTCTAGCCTCACTAACAGTTTCTGATAGTACATTTGAAGTTAGGAGACATAGCCAGGAATGGAAATCCCTGAAACTGCTTGGCTGGGGCATTTGCAGTGGCAATGAACTACAGCAAAGTTTACCCTAGGTTCTGACATATTTTTCTCTAACTTTGTTCTCAGTAGCTGTTAAAAAGACTAATAATCAGGGGAAAACCCACCAGTATCAAAAGACACATGTGTCACTCAACATCTCCATCAATTGCATGCTACAAGCAGGGTGTTGGGATAAGGAACTATTTAAATGAGGGACAAAAAGAGGTGAGTTTACATCACATCAGGCATGCATTTAACCTACTGGAATATAATTACAGCATAAGAGTGTGAAATGAAAATAATATAAAATAGGATAGTCCTGTGGTTTGAATGCACTTTTCAGACTCACGTTGAAACTGAAGTGCTATTGACAGTGTTTAGAGGTGATTTGATCATGAGGGTTGATTGTTCTGGATGAATCAGCACCATTGTTGGGAGTAAGTCAGTTATTGACAATAGACTTTATTATAAAACAAGATCTTTTGTGTGCTTTCTTCCCATTTCATTTTCTTTACCATGCTACCACCGCTCATGTAGGCCCTTTGGATGTCAGTGCCAAAATCTTTGCCTTCTCAGCCTCTACCCTTCCCTCACGGGTACTGAGGGTTGAACTCATATCTTCAGAATGATAGCAAGGGCCTTTACCCACTGACCAGCTCTCCACCCTCCTATATTTAAACTTTAAAGATCTATTTTGGAAAAAAGACACTTTCCCAGAGAGATATCTCACTTAGTGTAGAATCTGATCTTCCCCAACATGTCGATGTCTTTATTTTATTTTTTCTCAGTGACCATGGAGAACTCATAATTTTCTGAAGGCCTCTCAATAATGCTTTAAAATTTACATCATTAAATTTTATTAATTTCATAGAATAATCTGCTTCTTTATCATTTTCACAAATGTATTTATCATGCTTTGTGAGAATCCACATTCTCTCATGCCCTCCCCTCTATTTCCCCATCTTCCTTTTCTTTTCTTTTGGTTGCTCTTCTGATTTCAGACCTTTGTTTTTAAAGATTCTACAAATTAGAGGACCATTTGATCTTTGTCTTTGTGTGCTTGCTTTATTTTCCTCAACATGATTATCTTCAGTTCCATTGATTTCCCTGCAAATGGCATGATTCCATTCCTCTTTGTGACCAGATAGTACTCCATTGTGTATATACAGCCTGCTTTGTCTGTCCATTCCTCTGAGGATGGACATTTAGGCTGATTCCACAGCTTGGCTATTGAGACTGTAGGATTTCTTAATGCAGCAGGGTTAATTCCTTGTTCTGTGCAATGGGTTTCTTTTTTTTGCGTGTTTATTCATCGGTTTTATTTCTCCCTAAGAAACATGTGGTTATATGTCCTGGTTCCAGTTTTTTCTTAGTCCTGACTCTTCACTTCTCACTTCTGGAGTCAATGAAACAATCACTGTCCTTTCAGCACAGAGCACCAGGATGGAGAGAAAAGAGGGAGATACATGCCTTCTAGCTATAGTGTGGAGCCATTGTCCACAGGAGCATTCAAACCTCAGTGTGTCTCATCCTCTTACCAGGTCATTTGTCTCTGAAGGTGGTGACACACCCGAGTGAGAGATGACCTAATGACAAGGGTCGTCTTCACAAGCCATCATTTGAAGAAGTGGCTTTTGAAGAATAAGGAGATGCAGGAGGGGGACTCACAGTCAACTCTGTTCTTCAACTATTAAACCTTTTGAGATTCTGTGCTTTTTTAAAAATATGTTTGCCTAAAATTCTCCAGGGGCTCACTTTGAAGGAAGAAGCCAGAGGAAAGTGGAAGGATCTGAAGTCAAATAGAAGATTCATTGCTGCCCCTGACCACACTTGTATGACTTGAGCTTATTTGAATAGTTTCTCTCTTGCTCAATGGCTTGGCTTAAGGGGGTTATAGAAAAAAATTCCCTGAGCATGCCTCCCCCATTACTTTGCTCTATATCAAAGTGTTTTCCATGCGTAATTCTATGTATTTAGTGTTTTTTCCATAGCAACTCATTCCAGATGAATGTGACAACTTGATAGGTACTAATACAATAGGAGTAACACACTAAAACGGGTTTTGCTTTACCCTAAAACAAAATATCTCTGTAACTGTGGCTTGCTGAGTAGACTGCGAAGCCTTTTACAAATGAAAGGGCTAATGAGATACTGATATGTTTTGAATATGGGTCCAAGAGATGGCTGGAAGAACTTGGCTGCTTGACAGCATTACATTACAGATCAACTTCAGTGTGGAGTAATACACAGTTCACATACACCTTAATAGGAACCTCCTGGCCTGACTCACAGCAAGAAACAGAGCCAAAGACTTGAGTCTGAAGCTTTTCTTAAGTTCCTTGATTGAAATCTGGACTTATATTTACTTTGTGTTTACTTTCTGAAGTCAGTGATATCATGGTGGCCAGGATTCCAAGTATAGAGCTGGGGGAAGCTCCAGAGGGAAGTCTTCTAAGAGATCTTCCACAGGTCAGCCTGGAGAGACTTCATTTTCCAAAGACAAGATGGGAGCAACGGGGAAGTCAGCTCTGCCATCCGTTGGCCTTTATTTCATAATTGAGCAAGTTATTTCGCTAATAGTCTCAGAGAGAACTGTCTCAGAAAGGCAGGCTGGATGGGAAATGGGCTTTCTTTAGCAGTAAAGTGTGAAGAAGGCAAATGCTATGTTTTAACATAAACAAAGCAAAAGACCCCTAAAAAAGAGTAAACATAATTAATAAGATTAGATTGTTAGCCTATAACTCCTCTAGATCATAAGAGAAAAAATATTTCTAAGCTCTCTATCAATCAAATAAAAACCCGATCCCAGCTGTTGCCATTGGGCCACACAACTATCTAAGGGACAAGTCATTTTGCTATCCTAACGTGTGAAAACTGGGGGAAAGTTTAACCTTAGCCATACCTCTGGAATGTAATTAAGTTATTTGGAAATAATGAAATTATTGTCTTTTCCTTTCCCCACTATTGATTGTGTTAAAGGTAATTTGATCCATAGTAATACAACAAAATTCTCTTTTTGAGAAGCATGGTGGGTCCAGTGATGACTAATTTGGTAGTGAAAACTGAGTCTCAATCTCCATGACCTAAGTGACACAGGGGCTTGTGGGTGTTCTCCAAGTACTCAGAGAAAACACTGTCATTTCTAGAAACTTCCTGGGTCTTTTGACAAATGCTTTGCTTGAAGAAGTTCAATAACTTTCCAATCCTCAATATTGCTCTTACTAGAGAAACACAACTTACAATATCTGGACATAAAACCTACATGATAGATGGGAGAATTTTTTTTATTAGGCTTAAGTAGGCTTTGTCTTATCTGGTAGGTTCTGTCTTACCTAAAAGTAGGGAAACTGTCACTGACTGAGTCCATGGAACCACTAAGTCAGGAGCTAGAACACCATCACATCAGCTTTGCTTCCTGACTTACAGATTTAGGGTATACTTTCCATTTTAATGGTTTTTCAAAAGTTTTTCTCATGAGTCCATCCAATGTTCAGGATCACACTAGCTTATAGAAAAATTGCTTTTCTAAAGTGGGATATTTATATGACTACAGAAGAAACTCCAAAATTAAATGACAGAAAAAGAATTGAATGATTTGATGACAGAGTTACAAGTAGAGGTTGGGGAGACTATGGCAAATTGAATCTTTTATGATCTATCAAAACCCAACATTCTTTGTTCATCTTGGGCCAGTACAGTGTGTATATATCACCAGAGGACTGCCTTGTCTTCCATTTCCTGATAAAAGTCAGCAAATAGATACTTTAAAATAAAAATTTCTACTGTTTAATTGTTGGCAACCTCTAAGAGTCTTCAGGAGCCAATTAATTACATCCCCTCTCTTTCTCCTCTTTCATTCATTACCAGTTGAGAAGTGACACGGGAGTAGGACAGATGGAGATGAAGATGTCATTATTATCTCTGACAAAGCTGATTGGAGAAGACGGCTGGGATGTGCAGCCAAGTGTATTTTCTAATTCCCACTTACAGAAGAAAGCATGGATGTTCATGACTGTCTCCTAAGAGAATAAAGGGTGAGAAAGAGAGGCACCATGGTGCTCTGAGACTGTTAGCAGAGTAACTTAGCTAATTATGAAGTGAGGACCAATGGATGACAGAACTAACCTTCTTCCCCATCAGAGAGAGCAGAGCTCCTTGGAGTGGAAATGGCCTGCCCCATCCCCTGCCCACCAGTGAGAGTTCTGCCCTAATAGCAAGAACTTCCCTTTTAAAAATGCAGTGCAAGAAATACATTTTAGAAAAGATTCAGCTGAGAGATGTCAATTTGCAACCTCTATGTTTATAGTTTATGATATTCTGTTTTTAATTTTGTGTTAAGGTATTTTGTTGTTTCTTTTCCTTTGTGTATGTAAGTTTCTCCTTTTTGTCCTGTATTTTTCATAATGAAACAAATCACAGTGCTATTGTTGTAAGCAAAAATGCTAGACATGATTTTTTTTCCATTTTTATTGGAATTCAGTTGATCTCTTTGGGTGTTCCTTGAAGGCTTAGTAGTAGCAAAATAACTGCACCTTATATGGTAGAACTTGTCAGCTGTCCTGACAATGCTGGAAAGCAGATTTCAATTGCTACCAGCCTGCTATGTTTACTTTACCTGATCAGGTAAATAAATCCACGAGGCACCATTTACAGCTCCAATTCTCACACATGGAGGCTTTCCTTCGTATTTGTTGTCTTCCAGTCCCTTTCTTTGTCTTACCCTTCTAGTTCAACATCTGCAGTCATTTTCCTGATTCTCCCATGTGTCTGCTTCCTCCTCCCTCACCTACCTCAGGCCACCCTCCCTTGAGATGCACACAGTAAACACTTGGCCAAGTACAATAGCAGAGATGCTCTGACACTGTGATTCTCCCATCTGACTCGCTCCAGACACTTAAACAGGAAATGACATTCATAGTTTTCCTATTCTCCGTGGTTGTGGAAAGCTTATTGTTAGGTATAGTTTGCCTGGCCTGAAACAATGTTTGTCATAGCAAAGTAGGTTGCTCTCAAGGCTTGTCATTATAAATGGGTGTTGCATTTAGCACAGACAGTAAACAAAGCCATTTTAAGGTGGGATGTTTAAGTTTTCATTAACGTGACTGAATCCCAAGAAGTGAAGTCTAGCTTACCTTAAAAAAGTCCACTCCTAAGATATGTTTTAAAAAATATTTATTTCATACTTGTGGCTTTTGTCTGTATGTATGAAAGTATACATGTTCATTAAGTTCAGGTCTAGTGTGTGACCTTTTGTCTGTACATATGAAAGTATGTATGTTCATCAAGTTCAAGTCTAGTTCACACAGAGGCCAGAAAGAGCATCAGATTCCCTGGAACTGGAGTTACAGGTGGCTGTGAGCTTCCCATCTTGGGTGCTGGGAACTGAACCAGGGTCCTCTACAAAAGCAACAAGTGCTCTTGACTGCTGGACCATCTTTCCATCCCCCACCCCTAGAATCTTAGTTGTCTAAAAACATGTTGTAAGTTTCACTGTATCAATAGTCTGGCTTATATCTGGTGCACTGCCTTCATTTATCATTCTTTAGTCTGTTTTTGACTATGCAAAGTCTAAGTTTTCTGGGAAAACAATGCCTAATATCAATGTGATAACCCTTTCCTTCCATGCTATCCCTGGTATTTCCTCATCTGGAGGATTTTTCCCACCAATATATAAGAGAAGCTTAATGGGTCAGAGAGCTTTGAGGGGGGCACCAAACAGGATGCTGGAACTTATGGCTCACAATGTCCCATTTTGTTCAAATATGAGTAGATTTTATGTCAGTCCAGGGAGAAAAGGAGTAAACATTCTCAGTCCAGACTACCTTAACTTCACACCTAACTTTTTTGCCTGGCCAGTACAGCCCACTATAGACATTCTATTGTTTGTAAATTAGCTTCTGTAAGGTATCTTGCTGAATTTTGAACATACAGACACAACCTTCCCCATTAACATGGCACAGAAAAGGGACTTCAAAGCACACACCTGTATTCCTGAACAGACAGATGCTTAAGGGCATGTAAATATTTTTCTGGACAAAGAACTTCTCTATTTGTATTGTGGATTAAAAGACACATACTTATTTTAGACTCTTGTTCACATGATACCCTCTGACTTTTATAGCACTGATGTGATTTCTAAGGCAGGCATAGTCAGGCTAAGTTTTGAAAAGCACATTGGGGTAGAGTGAGATTCTATTAGTAGAATTTTGCAGTTAGGCTTAACTTGCCTGGGTTAGTAACCAAGTGTCTATTACCTTACTCCTGAATGGTCTTGCATAGTCTGCCTGCCCTTTTAATTGAGACTCACTTTCCTCATCTGTGGAAGATATAATGAAAATGCATGCCTGGTGAATTTGTTGTAAAGTGTAAATTAGCTAAGACATAGAATTGAGTTGACATGGTGCCTGTTGCAGAGTTAGTACTTAATAAAGTTTAGCACTGGTGCTGGAGTTTTAGAATTGTATTCATTGGTTTATCCTGGGTAGCTTTTATGAAATTTATATTAATACCATTTATTTTTCTACAAAAGGTAAAAATTAAACTCAAACTTGTTAACCATGGAGAACTGTCTATTGGTTTTATGCATCAAGCAATCCAAAAATATAACAAAAAGACAGAACCTGATACAGAGCCCAAATGGTATCACCAGAACTGCATTTTTCTCTATACCATCCTTACCTGTCCATTCTTGGCAGTTCCTTCTCATAGTTGAAAGGTAATTGTCATTAGTACATGGAACTGGATGAGTCTAGGCTGAAATCCAAAGAAAAAGTGAGCATCTTTATTTTAGAATTTGTAGGAAGAAATGGAATGTCTTCTGATTGGCTAGGCCTGTCCATGTACTACTCTCAATTTAATTATAAAATGGCATTCAATTTGGGACTTTTATAGGCTAGAACTTTATCAATGCTTCCTCCCCCAACTCTCTCCTCTCTCTCTCTCTCTCTCTCTCTCTCTCTCTCTCTCTCTCTCTCTCTCTCTCTCTCTCTCTCTCTCCCTGGTGTGTTATGTGAGTTAGGAATGAAAATAACTCCACTGAAAGCATGTGATTTAAAGCGGTAAAAACTGGGATTTAAATGCTAGACAAAGGTTAAAGGATTTCAGACAACAAAACAATAGCTGCTACAGCACGAATGAATGTAAATAGATTTGGAGGACTTAGCATACATTGCAGCACAGTAGTTCTATGAATTCAAACTCATCTGTTAATCATGAATTATGTTTAGCATAAAAGAAGATGTCAAAAAATGAATCTCATATATGAGCCAAGGAAGCATACATCAATGTTCACAATGCTGTGTTATGAAAGAATTTCACACTTCCAGTTCCTAACACTCAAGAAAAGTTCATTGGTTCTTCTGATCTTCATTCCATGTCTTACTTCTACCAGGAACAAGGGAATGAGAAACATGGTTGGCTTCTATGAATAGCTCAGGTTAAGAAGTATAATCAAAATACCCCATCCTCCAATTCATTCCTTTTCCATCAGTTGGCACGCTGGCTTTGTCCTGTAATACTGGAAGAACTATTATGATGGGGGAAGTCCTTCTGTGTATATGTTTGTCTGATTGGTATAAATAAAGCACTGTTGGCCAATAGGGAAGCAAGATAGGTAGGATTAGGAGTCAAGGAGAATTCTGGGAAATACAGTCAAGAGTGGAGAGTCACCATGTGATCCCTGGAGGAAAGGGCACAAGTCTGGTGTCCTTGGAAAGATAAGTCCTTATAGAAATATATATATTAGTAATTATGGGTTAATAATTAAGTCAGAGCTAGCCATTAAGAAACCATAGCAACTGGTCAACAGCATTACAATTAATATAGTATCTCGTGTGTTATTTGGGGGCTAACATGGCAACGGGACCCATGTGGGAATCCTGCAACACCATTAACTTTCTGTGGATGTGTCTTCTGTCTTAAAGCCTGAGGATGCCCAATTTGCTTTTAGTACCTGAAGCCTTTGCCTAGCTTTGCAAAGCCAAGCACGCTGAGATGCTGGACCTTGTAGAGACGCATCAGCCTTGTCATTTGCTTCTTGTCCAGCCAAACCTGTGTCACTTGGCTACAGGATGTTTATCAAGTCTAGCCCAGCTTCCTTCAATTCTGCCTTCGTATTTGGGGTCAAATCCCTTGTACTTTGCTTTATGTACAAAATCTTCTTGGAGGTATTCTGGGAAGTAGCTGTGTAACTGATGCAAGGTAGTGTTAAGAGGCCTGACCAAAATTCCACCATGCCTTCATATCAGCACTCTACTGTATCCGATTATGAATTCCAGATGCAACTTTTGAGAACATTACTTGTCATATCATTGTCTGTAAGTTTCATAATTGAAGATTTAAAGAATGACTAAGAAGGAAATCAAAGATACATTTTATTGCTCATGTTCTTGGGGGAATGTAGGTCAGTAGCCTGAGCAAGGGTGTCAAAATCCTTGTTAAGAATAAAGTAATGTGGCTCAGAAAACCAAACTCGAATAAGTGTCTTAATGGGCTGTTTACTAATATGATTTCTATGGGAGCAATCTGGCTCACAAAAATATTTCTGACACGTGCTAATAATCTATGGGAATTTATGTTTTTTAACCCAAAGCCTGAGCATTTCTTTTTTTTTTTTGAAGCTTTTAAAAGAAGCTTTTATTTTGTAGCATGTGTATTACAGGAAACAAAACACAAGAAGCTAAGAACAGTCTCCCAGTCACAAGCAGTTCAGCTTGATGTGTCCTTCCAGATGCTGCAAATGTACATACATTTAGGGAATTGAGATTATACAGTATGTACCAAGCTTTCCCCCACATTGTGAATATTCACCAACTAAAAATCCCATACTACATGAGTATTTTGATAACCAAGAATACACCACACCATCTCAATCTGTCAGACAAAACTGTAATCCGGTCTTCCTTAAGCCTGAGCATTTCTACGGAGTACATCTCTGTATATTGTGTGCTATGAACCCCCTTATCAGGAGAAAGAATGAAGATATAAGATTTTTGTCAAATGAAGCAAAGGAAAATAATTTGTCTTTCATTTGTGGAAGAGAAAATGATGCCCTGGGGACTTGAATGCCTGTTCTGTATTACTAGGGAGTCTCTAATTGAACCTGCTTTGAAAAATTAGACTTCAGGAGGTCTATCTAAGAAAGTACCTCTAATTTAAAACACTCAGTAGCTTAGCATGCGAGATTGTCACCTTCTAAGAGGGAAGGGCTAATAACTATAAAGAAACCTGTGAGATACAAAGATATTATCTTCCCTCATGTGAGCTTGGTGGTTTAGGAAGGACTGACATACTAGGGTTGTTTTTTTAAATTTAATGACCTTTCCTACATGAACTCTCCCTAATTCCCATAATAACACTTTGTTTATACAGATAATTTTCTTTCCAGTGGGAGTTCTTACATGTATTAATAACCTTATCTCATAAATCAACTCAGGGCACTGTTTAGTTTGATGAAGTGCAGGGCTGGGGGCTTTCTTAAGTATGTCAGCAGGGACTCAAATGACTCCATTTCTCCCTCATGGGATCCTGCATGAGATGGTATTGGTATAAGGAACTGCAATTCGACTGGGCAAAGAGGTAAGCTGATGTTTGCACACAGGCATGGATACAAACTGTTAGAAATTGATGTCTAGGGTGGTTCCCTGTGAAGTAGGTAAATCCTGATTTTGTGTCCATATTGAAGAAAGCTTAGGAAGTTCTTGGGGGAAAGAGGTCTTTAATTATCTTTTAGTGATATTGTAGTTCTTATTTATCTAAATCTCCATTCACAAAATAAAAAATATCACCACTGGATGATTTAGTAAGCCCAACTTCAATAGATATAAACATAAAAAATTTGATGGATAGTTTTGATAGGTGTTCTTGGTTGTCAACTGGACTACTTCTGGAATGAACTAAAACCCAAAAGGTTGGGCACACCTGCAAGGGAGTTTTCTTAGTTAAATGATTTGATGTGGGAAGACCCACATTTAATCTGGATCTTTTGAGGTGGGAAGATCTAGTCTGAATCCAGGTCACACTTGCTGCTGGCAGCATATATAAAGGACATGGAAGAAGGAAGTGCTTGCTCTTTGCCTACTTGTCCTCGCTCTTCTGCAAGCCCTTTCCTTTACTGGCATAGACTCTACTTTGGGATCCCAGCATACACTGAAGACCAACTGAGATATCCATCCTGGATGAACTCCAACTGAACAACTCCTGGATTCTTGATCTTTCTGTTGGACTAGCTGGACAAAAGTCTGTAACCCACTCTAATAAATCCCTCCCCGACTCTCACTCTCACTCTCTCTCTCTCTCTCTCTCTCTCTCTCTCTCTCTCTCTCTCTCTCTCTGTGTGTGTGTGTGTGTGTGTGTGTGTAAGAGAGAGGAGGTAGGAAGGGAGAGAGAGAGAGATATCAAGAAGCTCCTTCTCTCATCTTTTCTCTGGAAAAATTAAAAGACAAATCAACAAGTTACATACTTCCTGTTTCAGAAGGGAGGAACCAGGACATAAAAACAATTACACTTAAGCAAAACAAAAGTCCAGCAATGGAACTCAGTAGCCTCTAACTCAATGTCCAGTATCTGGGATTCACTCATGTTCTTTTGGGATCCAAATGGCTAGGAGAATTCTGAAGCCCACACAGCTTGTCTGGTAGGCAGGTAGAGGCCGACTCCACTCCACATCTGCTGCTCTCCTTGTTAGAGATTTCATGGTTCTGATCCCTGATCTCCTGGAGTCTGTGCTACAACTAAAGCTGTACCATCACCTACCATGGATTGGAGCATATGCACTGTTGTGGTCATTCTGAACACTCAGAGAGAAGAACATGTAGTTCTTACCCTAGCGCTGAGTCCTCTGTTTTGCAAGGAGAACCTTGTTAATACCTGAAGGTTTTAGAAGGTGGATATGCTTGCATCTGGAGTTCAAGCACCTTTTGGGAGGAAAACCTTTGGCCCTTCTCAACACACCCCAGAGGAGTCAAAAATTAATCAATGGTGTACTGGAATTGACTTTTCCAAAATATTGGGGCAAGGAATACACACCTGAAATTAAATTGTTCTGCCAGTAAAATGGTCTGGGTCCAGTGGACTGGTGGCCAAGAACATGGAAAATTGATAGATACACTAGAACTTGTCTTGATACAAGTGTTAGATCAAAGTCTTCATCAAGAATGGTGGGCATGAGTCTAAACAAACCAGAAAGAGACCACGGCCTAAGCTGAAAAGAGAGTGCTGTGACATTGCCAGCTACATCTTCTCCCTAACTGTTAGATTTCTTTGAATTTTGACTTGGGCAGGAATAAGCTAAGTTATCATGAGCTCTTATTAACTTGTTGGTTCACTTTTGAAGGAATCATTTAAGCCACAGCTAAGGCACTCATCCTATCCCTCATAAAGGGCAGGGTCTCCAGTGGTCAACATTCTAGCCCATAATTTATGTAACTATGGCAAATGGTTAAGAGCTCCTACCCCAGTTTGAAAGTTCTAAGATAACAGGAAGCAAGTTGGAACTTTAAGCAAGATGAGCAAATTCCACCCAGTTTGTACTTTTTAACTTAAGAGGAGGGCGGCACAGTTTGGTGACAGACATGACTTTTCCACCAAATGTGGCCATGGCAAGGTGTGGTAGTTGTCTTGATAAGATTCGGTGCCAAGGTTAGATAGTGCACAGCATGTCCTGTAAAACTAGACAGAGTCTACAATCAAAATATTCTCACATTGATTAAAGAACTTGGCATATCTTTGGAGACTTCACCATCCAGGCTGTGCTG